ACCAAAATGAATACCTGATGCTGATGCACTACAAACAAGACATGGCAGTTTTTTATATAAATCTTCTGTTTTTGGTCCAACTGGTTCTACAAACAATTCACATAAATAAATAAGAAAAATAAATAAAAAAACAAATAAATAAATACCATGTGGTTTCATTCCCATTGAAATACATTTTTGAAATCGACAATATTGACATTGAGTTCGTGAACGTTTTGTTATTGAACAAGAAAAATCTTTTTGACATTTATACTTTTTATTTCCATCACCTGTTGAAATTGAACGAAGAAAAAATTTCTAAATAAAACAAAATTAATTATTGAGACTGTATCAATCAATTCATTTCGAGATTTACCTTGCATGCCTCACATGTTATGGCTCTAAAAATAAATAATGAAGAATAAATCAATGAAAATAAAATAGTTTTACCCGCAATGCCATCCTGATGCTAAATCTCCACATACTTGACAACTTTCATCTTCATTTAAATGATGTGCCAAAAGATTTGAAGAACTGCTTGTTACTTCTCGTTGTTTATTGTTTTGAAGGGGCATGCGTGATTGATGATCAGTATGTGCATAAAAGGGGTGGAAATTATATTCGTTCAATGTAATTGATGGAAGGTCTGCACAAGCAATCGTTGACATTGTTACTTGAGATAAATCTAGAAAAAGAAAGAATTCTGCCATTATAAACGATTATGTAAAAATATGTAGAAGTGACTCCAGATAGACTTAGTTTATAGTGTAGAAAAGAAAAACGGTTTTATCATTCAAACAATAAATGGCAAAAATCGGCTACTGCTGATTAAACGTGAGAAGAAATGAAGAAACAAAATCAAATGTTCTTTCTATTCATAACAATCTGTTTATTGTCATTGACATATAAATGATATTAAGATCATTAAAACACCATTTATCTTTTTCATTCTCTCCTTTTCATTTTAGATATTTCAGCATGATGACTAAATATTTATCGAATGAACTTAATCATGAAGATATATATTCTCCCTCGGGCTAGTTAGTTTAGATAAACTGAAAGAGATGAAGCATTTTTATAATCTTTATAGTCTCTTCATATTTTTTTATGACGTTCTAATGTTATGTTTTAGCACATAACACGCATGTTCTATATAAATATGCAAGAAAAAAAAAAATTGACCTAATCGTTATTTATGTGAAACTAACATATGTTATAGATTAAAAGACGTAGAAGCTTTTTTTACCTTGAAATATTTTTTATATTTCATAGTCTAAATTACATGTTTTTTTATTATTAAGAATTCTAAGACAACATATAGGTTTTTTTCTTTTCTTAAGTAAACGAAAGCATGAAGTTTTCTCTTAATCTTCAGTAATAATTGTCTATATATGATGTTAAATAGAAAATAATACATTACTAACAACTTACAATTAAAATCAATGTGATGATGATCGTTATTTACTATTTATCAAGTAGCATTATTTTGAGAATCTTTATTATTCAATGAGATCTGTAATAACGAGAAAGTTATATATATACTCCATGTTCACTGCTTCATCTTAGTAAATGATGGTCGTGTTAATAATTGTGAAGAAAAGTTAATATTAGTAGAAGAAAAAAAATATAAGATAAATAGCATAAATCAACGGAAATATAGTGTGCACCATGATTTTGTGAATTGAAAAGTTTAGTACATTATTGAATATTTATGAATTGTATAGAAAGATGAGAGAATATATCAACTAAATTTTTTGTAATATGATCTATGAGTAAAGTATCTATGTGATCATCTTATAGTTTCCTTGTCTTGTAACTTTATGATGTATCTATGAGATAAATATTCAAAGTTTAAGGAGTTGATAATTCTAAATTGCTAATCAAAGAAATAAAGCACTAGATGATTACGCTTCAATTTAGTTAAAATATAGTATATTGGCCATATTTACGATATTGGATTATATGAGTCTAAAGATAAGCAGACAGTCTTTGTGTAATTATTTAAGTAAAATGTCATAACAGTAATACATATCAATCTCCTCAAAGAATGATTCAAATATGATGAAGATACTTTGTTGGTTTAATATTTAGTTGATTATCGATGAATTTAGATTTGTCAATAAAAATCTATATAAATCTTGAGGTTGAGGAATTATCATTGTTTCGAATAAGGAAACGCATTGTAAATATAAAATTTTATTTTAGAAAATATTCCGTTATTTATTTATTAGAAATTGAAGTGCATAGATTAAAATAAATTGAGAGGAATTATCAGATGATAGTAAGGGTGTTTGCGAAATTAAATTATATTCAACACAAAAACATAAATCGAATAGACTGTTTGAATGACTATATGAACTATGACCGCTACAGATATCATTCAATGATATATGAGTCAATCGATAGGATTAAGCATCTATATGTTTTCGGCAACTATAACGGAAAGGTGAATTATATAATGTACAGATGGTGCATGTTTAATTTGTCATATAATAGAGAAAATATTATATCTTATTGTTTATGATTTATCTAATATTTTCGTTTTTTCTTTGATTTTGCTGATAAGTTGCCTTTCATTAACTAATCTTGTGTCCAACGCTAAATATCTTCCTTATTTTATGAGCAAAGTTACAAATAGAATGGTGTACAAAATGTGAAAAAAAGAATTTATTTTGAAATTATATATAATAGAATGGTATCAATGTTAATTTCACTTATTTGTCTTACAACAACGAGTAGTATGAAACAGCAGTAGATATAAATCAAGATTTTTATGAATATTCTATGTTAGATAAACAATGTTACAGGTCAAAGGTTAATGACAATACATTTGCATTTAAAAAGATTAACGGACAATAGTGAAGTATAGAGATAAGATTGAAACAAAATCAAAGAGAGTGCTTCACCGTGACATGAACTCAATGATTCTTATTCATATTTCTACATATAACTTCATTGTTGATTTATTTGTTTTGTTACTTATTAGTTTTTTTCCTTTCAAAACTGGAAGATTTCATTAAGGGTTTGATATCTAAAACATAATGACTGATTCTCTCTTGAGGGTGTGGGTTTTCAGAACAATTTTGAATTCCAATTCATTAGAAAAATGTATATTTTAGGATAGTGCTGGTTTATCCTATGAATACTACTGATTCCGATGATTTGTAGTATATCAGCATAGAAGTCAGATAAATTATATTGTATTTGCCAATGCAATAATATATAAGTCACAAATAAAATCATTCTAGAGCATGAACGATCAACCTAAGCAAGTAAGATTAATTTGAATCAGCAAAAACTCAATACCGATTCGTCAACTCTCTATTCTATGTTAAAAATATCATAACTTTAGATTGAAATCATTATAAACGCATAAGAGATTATAAAGATTAATATACTGCATGTCAGTCTTTCAAAACAATGTGGACAATACTGTATATAGTGAAATAGATTTTATGTTAATATAATTGAGTCAAGAGAAACATGTTAAAATTAGGATGATAAGTTTTGTAAACATTCCTTACCGAATCTTTCACGTATTCTAAATAGGAAAAAGAATAAAATGACTAAATTAATTACCTTGTTAGTTATTGTCAAAATAAGAATAGTAGATAAACGCAAAGAGATGCTCGTATAAATATCTGCGTATGTTCGATGACTCGTTGGTTATGACGTTGAGAGTGTTATGTTTATTGCTTGCCTATAACTTCCTACCCATGCTTGCCATATTTCTTTTTTTCTGTTCGTTTCTCTCTTCAAAGTTGCCCTTCATCGTCATCAGTCGTATTCTCCACATACTTTACACGTGAATTTGATCTTCATCTCTTTCTTGCTCTCCCTCTCTCTCTCTCCCTCACTCGTCAATGATAAAAATCTTCTGTTTTTTTGTTTTTTTCTCATCTTATTTCGTATTTATAATGAATATGGACAACATGTAAACACTAAATTTCGTATTAAAAAAAATTAGAAATCATGGTGCAGAAATCCCATGTTTTTTGTTGTACAATCAAATAATTTCTTACGTTTAATAATATTCGTTTAGTTTCCATCGAACTACATCTTTAAAATACGTTAGATTTTAAAGTACTTAGTATATCAAAATTACAGGGTTATTCTTCGATTATATAGTTCTAATAATTTATTTCATGTTCTTCATATTCGTAATTTTATCTGTAATTGTTAGGTGTTTTTTACAAAAATTTTCTTCTGAATTTGAAGGTATTTGTAAATCAGTAGACAGTACATCTCTCTTGGATCATCAATAGAAAATGAATGTGTTTATAGATATAATCAGGAGACAAACTATAACTATTTCAAGATAACTAAGATTGAGCGCTTAGCTTTGGCTAATGACCACATCCGGAAGACTAATAAAAATCTTACATGTCTTGTATTGAAGAAAGTATACTTAACTTTCAATGATTTTAGTTAATTGATTATTCTATTTGTTTTCGAAGCATGGAAAAGTTATTTTATAAATTCACAAATAATCAAGGAAATATCATTTCTATCAAAAAAACTGTATTGTTGAATATATTTGTCGTTAATAGTCAAGGGATTAATAAATTATGATGAAACTAGACTGTGGCAGTATATTTTTCTTCAATAACATTTTGATTTTTGACTTTAAAATATGAATAACATTATTAATTACTATAGAAGTAACCATACAATAAATAATATTACAAGTCTCATATAAACAAATTCTGTAGAATATCGCTTTCGATACCAGTAACAATGAATGCTGTTATGATATCTCATAAAATTCATTCCGAAGTATTGAGAACTGAAAACTAGTGACATTTTCTTTATAATCAAGGAAAACAGTCTGATATTATCATTTTCTTCGAACATCAATTTCAAGAATGTGTTAAACAGATGGAATTCTTTGTGAAGTATCGTAGTAATTACGTCAAATATAAAACAGAAAGACTGATAGAAGGTTGTTTTGCTAAATAAATATGGCGAAGTGACAAAATTTGTTCATTATTCTAAATAAATATGTACTTTAATTTATATAGCAACCATCCTTAGTTCTTCAAAATAGTATAAGTCATTATATGTTGTAGTAATTAAATTTATGTGAATATAGATGATTCAAATTCATAAGAGATCATATATTTGAACTTAATATAGAGTAAAGTATCAATCCTGATGATAAATTCATATCTATTTTGACTATAATACATTAGATATACCAGTTGATTACCGTTTGATTTTGGATAAAATAGTTCTATCATG